CTTTGTTCAGTGATGTTTGCCGTAGTGTTCGCACGCTGCTGGGTCAATGTCAGAGATCTACGGCTGCAGCGGCGTGGATTCACTGTCAATCATGTAAGTAACAGATCTAGGCCCTTCAACTATATCAGTTTACTCTCTGCTGCATGTGTTTACATTAATACGGGTGACACAGAACGAGTTTAAAGCAGTAGATTTGTAGACACAATCTGCTCTGTATAGTGAGTATCTCTTTTTTTCTAATTTCAGAGAACAATCCTTTTTTTGACCTAAAGTAAATAAAATAGCAAAAGAAAACAACTGATTTAATATTAATATGATTTTGATTCATCCCAGTGACTCGAATCTTGAGTCCATTCATCAGAAAGATTCCTTAACTATTTCAAAAATTGCCCCCCTCAAATTGACTTCTTTTTCTTCTTTTTTTTTTCACCAGCAAAATTGATCTATCATACCTAACATGTAATTGAAAACTATCTTATTTTTTATATAACAACTGGATGACTTGTGAACAATTCATTCACTTAAAATATTCCTTCGTTTACAGTTCATATAAGGGAATTTGACATTTTGTGCAAATGAGTTTCAGTGGTCACCATTATCATTTATTTGATTGACAGAAATAGTTAATCATTTTATTTGTTTTACATTGAACAGCTCTTTAACGGCTATATTTTTCCACACATCCTCCACATACAAAATAATGTGTGTCTGTGTGTAAAAGAATCCAGAATAAACTCAAATAGTCTGCACTTAAAAATTAGAGACGGTTCCATTTCAACACACAGATGTGGTGAGCAAATACAACAGCATCACATGGTTTAAACCTCTCAAGGAATCTGTAGATTTAATTCATGAACAATATTTATGATGTGTCTCTTCCCACCAGCTCGGAAATACAGTCAGACAGCACCTGAGCCAGAACCAGTGATTAGTGATAATGAAGCCATCGGTAAAACATTTGTTAACCGAAACCCAAGAAACCTGGAACAGATGGCCCTGGCAGTGAAGGATCGAGGCTGGGCTACAGTGTGGCCCTCTAGACAATATTATCACAGGTTTGTAAGCATCCCAAGGTCTAGAGCTAGATGTGAATAATAAAACATCTACAAAGTTTTGCTGAGCACAGCTCTAATAACAGCATCTTAAAGCAGCACTATGTAACTTTTGGCGCTCTAGCGGTTAATAAACAGAACTGCACACATCCCGCGGAAGAACATTCCAACCGGAGCTACTTCTCTAAGTTTATGTCTATGGCGATTCACGCAGGTGTGTGTTACTCCGCAGCGGTGACGACCTGACCAGGCTACAATAGTTCAACTATAAGTACTTATTATAAGTGTACCGTAGTGATTCGGAATAAGACAACAACGCGGTTTGGAAGATGAATTAACGACGTACTCGCTCATTATATACATTTTGCAAATTTTGAACACAGAAAAAGTTATATAGTGCTGCTTTAAAAGCCTTTTCCAGATAGAAAAACAAATGTACACTGTGCATGAATATTGAACTGATGCTATTTTGTTCTGTACCGTTCCTCCCTCAGGTTGGTGTTCAGGCGCACACAGCATCACATCACAGCTGAGGTGTACTCAAGTGACTCAGTACATCCAGTGCTGTCCTGCTCCACGAAGGAGTGGGCATTGAAGCGTGAGCTGGGCTCCACACGCTCTGTAGCAGCTTGTCGTGCCGTAGGTGAGGTGCTTGCTCAGCGGTGTCGTGAAGCAGGCATCACACGCATTGTTTATCGAGAGGTTCCGTGGAAGTTTCGATCAGAGTCGGTGAGTTTTTCAATACTTTTTAGGTATTATACATTAATGATGAAAATGTATAGACTAATTCAAGCCATTTTTCCCCCACTGCAGAATCAGACATTCTGGACAGCTATGAAAGAGGGTGGCGTTATGCTTGGTGAACCAAGGCAAAAATTCATTTAAGTTGCAACATATCTTTTTTATTATTATTATTACTGTTCTGAGGTGTGGCTTTTGTCTGTAAATATAAATATTCTCACATTCAAACTGTGTATTTATTGTCGATTACAGAAGAGTCCTCAACACATTATAGTAATTTGGTTATTGGTATATAAATCTTTGGTTTGACAGTGAAATGATGCAGTGGTTTTCAGTTTGATTCAAGTGATTTTTGTAAACTAAAGATATTTCAGTTACTTTTTAAAAGTATTTGTAAAGTTTTAAGAACTGATGTATTTCAAGCTAGAAAAAAAGACAAAATACTTTGCTGCAAATGACACTACTGTGCAAAATATTTGGGGCCAGTATGATTATTTTCTTTTTTTTCTTTTTTCCTCGGCAGGATGTGTTAAATTGATCGAAAGTGAGAGTATATACATTTGTAATGGGACAAAAAAAAAAATCAAAAGGTAAAAGCTATCTATTCATCAATGAATCCTATGATTTCCACAAAAATATTAAGCAGCAACAGGACTGTTTTCACCATTAATAAGAAATGTTTCTTAAGCACCAAATCAGCATAATAGAATGATTTCCAAAGGATCATTTGACAATGAAGTCTGGAGTGATGGCTGCTGTAAATATATTTAAACTGTATTAAAATAGAAGCCAGTTATTTTAAATTGCAATAGCATTTCAGAAAAATACTGCTTTAGCTTTTTTCCTATCAAATTAATGCAGCTTTGGTGAGCTGAAGAGACTGCTTTCAAAAATATTTCAATCTTACTGACCCAACACATTTGAACAGTAGTGTATGTGAGAGTTAGTAGTGGCCCCGCTTTGGTGCTTTATTAAAATAGATATTTTAAAATATTGTTACAACAAATTGTGTACTATAATTCTGCAATCCATTTGACTAACAAAAAGAGTTAATTATTTCTCATATTTTAGGATTGATACAGTTGTATTGGCTTGATTTTTAATCAGTCCACTGCACATACATTATTGCTTAGCTGTAATATATAATATATGCCCTGTTTATCTGGCTAACTAATTTAGTATTGCTGTATACAGCTTAGTTGCTGTAGTTTAAATTTTAGTAAAGACATATTTCCAATGATATATGTAAAGCACTAGTATATATATATATATATATATATATATAGGAATATGAATATATATGAATTTTCACATATATACAAACACAATTTTACAGTAGCATTATTAAGAATAGGAATATCTTACAACCTGAAACACTACATTATACAAAAACAATCAATGAGAGTTTCCATTAGATATTTCTCAAGCCCCCATTATAAATTCATTTTAATTTTTATAGCACAGACAACTTTGTATATCAAATTAAAAAGATACATGTTCAGATCAGTCATAAATAGAAAAAGCAACAGACACCTTGACTTGATATTTAACGCCACCTGATACCAACAATGGAAATGCGAGTTACATCAGAATAAAATGTATCACTGTTTTTGAAGTTGATAAGGCATGGCACATTATACATTTAAGTGAAGAAAATCAGCACTTGGAAGGCTGTAGGTCATCATCTATCGCTAATACACATAACTTAAGACATTCTCATGGAAAATAACTGCAAAACCAGTGGTGCCTCAATACTAGAAACATTCCACGACATAACTTTGGTTTCACAACATTGGCACTTCGTGCAATGACAGTATACACATTTCAACAAATGTTTTACAGCAGATTGTGTATACTTTATACATACAGGACTCATGCTTCACAAAGACAGGCTTACATACAGTACAAACAGCATGCATACAGTCTGATACTTGAGACATCATGCAAAGACACAAATCAACCACACCTAGGGCTAAAGACACATGTATTATGTAGGAGTTAGTTGTGTTCGTTTTAACTGCACGAATATTAAAACCAACAAATGTAGTTATTTTGGTCCACCTCTATTAACTAAAGGCACTGAACCATCATGCAGAATGATTGAAACAGCAGAGACGGTTAAATAACTGGCACATTTTGTAGGAAAATACTCGGGTTTCTTCTCAGGTTTTGTTTCCTGCATACTCTACAGGTTAAAAACAAATATTAAACAACATCTGCTTAATTTAAAAAGACATGAAAATAGCTCCAAGTGTTAAAAACATGATATAGCATGAGTAGCTACATCACTGTCTAGAAACTACTCTACCATTCATAAGTTTGGAGTCAGTAAGATTTTGTTTTTGAAGTCTCTTATGCTTACCAAGGCTACATTTATTTGATAAAAAAAATACTGTAAAAACAGTAAAGTTGCAAAATAATATTGCAGTTTAAAATAACTGGTTTCTAATGAAATATATATTAAAAAGTAGTTTATTTCTGAAATGGCAAAGCTGAATTTTCAGCAGCCATTATTCCAGTCTTTAGTGTCACATGATCTTTTAGAAATTGTGATATGCTGATTTGGTGCTCAAAAACATTTCTTATTATCATCAAATGTTGAAAACAATTATGGTACCCGTGATACATTTTTATAGAAAGTTAAGAAACAGCACTTATTTGAAATAGAAATCTTTTTTAATGTTATAAAATGAAATGTCACTTTCAATAAATTTAATGCATCCTTGCTAAATATAAAGCACTGATTTCTTACTGACCCCAAAGTTTTGAATGGTAGTATACATGAAAAGTTAAAATCCTTGATTGCTTTCTCTACACTTTCACCTACTGATCTCCACAGAGGCAGCATAAAGCTTCACATTCATGGAGAAGGAACAGCTATAAAGTAGATTTATTGCATAGGACTCCTAAAATGAGTGAATCACACTCTTATTCATTTACTAAAAACAACATGAAACAATGCTATCGAGAGGAATAGTTCATGTTTCTGTATAATGACATGAGAGATAACAGCCATAGAGAAATACTCCACTCGCACTATAATACCATATTAAAATCTGTGAAGTAAACTGAATTTTATGGCTCAGTATGACGGTGCAAAGGAAACAGATTTCAAAAGGCACAATGTGACATTTTGAATGATGATGCTCTGAGGAAAACAGTTCCTTTATCAATACTCACTGGACAAGTGGTGGCTAATTTTTTTTCAACAATCCACCTAAACTGACCACAGTTTAATAGGTTTTGGGCTAGATGGACAGGTGAGGGAAAAATTAGTGCGATATCCACTGATATGTAACCATGTGCTTTTATGTGTTGCCTCCAAGTGAAATTACTATATGAATACATTCCCTAATTTTATTCTGCGATGACTCCTCAAAGAACTTGGAATGATACAATCAGAAGGATAAGACTTGTGCAAGAGTGTCTCTTATATTAGCATCACTGTTTGTGTTCTTTTTCCTCACCTTTTCACTTTTAATATTCCTCTTTCTCCATATTTCTTAACACGGCCCCTTTGTTAAAGTGCTTCAGAGACCAGCTTCATCCTGGTTTGTGTTCTGTGACTGTCTGCTGCTTGGTTCAGGAGAAACATCAACATGCGCTCTCTGATAAGTCAAGCCTCTTCTTCCATGACTCCGCCTTCGTTGCGCAGGAGAAAGTCTCTGACAGACAGTGATCTAAACAACAGGAGTTCTTCAGTTAATGCTTGTTTGCATGTGTTTTTTTACATATCTTAATCAATCAGTTTTGCATTCCAACCAATGCTTTCTTTTCCTCACCTCTTTATCTAGGCCTCTGTCCTCATCGTCAAGCTGAATAGACTGCATAAGAGAGAACAAATCCATCCTGCCACTTCTGCTGGGGCTAGATGACACCTAGGGTTAAAGTTTTGCAAACATTTAAAAAACTGCTTCATGAAAACACAAACCATTCATTAAAACACACCCAGCTAATTTTCCAAAAAGGCCTAATATTACCAAATTTGATTTTTGATGATGAGTTCAAAAATATCAATAAAAACTTTCCATCACGTACAGTTTGTAATCATAAATCAAGATCTCTTTTATAGATACATGTAAAGATACAGAAAACATCTTGGTCACGTTTGCATTTTCTTCTGCCTCTAGCCATAATTTCTAACCTTGAAATCAGGATTAGGCATAAAATAATATCTTCAGAATCATTACATGTGGAAATCGGCTGAGACCTGAACAAATAGTTGTAACCAGTCTCACATGTCTTTGTGGCAGTTTTTCTGGTAATTAAGGGATAATTCAAGACTTCTTCACCCATACAAATGGTTCTCGAAAGCAAAAATGCAATGCACATGATATACCATGAGAAAGTGTGATGTGCTAGAGAAAAACATGCACTATTTTTTTTTTTGGAACCAGCACCCCAGAAGTAGAAAGAAACAAGTATTGGATTTCATTCAGAAAACATAAGCAGGATAGTGCAATAGTAAAGAAAACCACATTAACATCTGGAAGGCCTTTTAAATGGTCAAGTGTAATGAATTTAAATTATCGGCCTCTGAGAGCTCTAACCTTATCACTTTCTTGTACAGTAATAAGTGGGTTGGATGTAGCTGTAGCTGTATCTGCCCCAGACGTGTCGGGAACACTCTCATCCAGATGCTCATCAAAGACCTGAGAATGACAGAGGCATAGAAATAAGCATACTTTTTGGGTAAAAAAACAATTTGGAAATTAAAGAGACTGAGAAGCATCAAAATTATATGACATTTTCTTACATCCGTTTCCTCCTCCTCGTAACTGCTTTCCTCTTCTGGGCTCTCCGAGTCTTCCTCTTTCTGTTCCTGTTCACTCCCTGTGGCTGCTTCGTTGTGGACAGATGGCTGGCGGACTTCTGGTTTGGACTTCTTCCTCCAGAGGGCACTGTGGCGCTGTTTACTGCATGGCACAATGTCACGTTTGGAATGAAATTCAGTACTTACTACTGAAAAGTGTAGGCCGTACTGCTTTTTTATAATAACATGTGAAACAAAAATCCACCTAATTCTGCAAGTGGTTTCAATTTATCAGATTATTTTTTTAAAAGGGCTATTTAGCTTTTTTTGTCCAACTGTGTAAAAATGTCTTGATAGCCCTACTAAAGGAGTAAAAAAAAAATAAGATCGTAGCTGACATTACTTCCAATACATTTTGGCAAATCTGTCTTCTGTGCACAATATGCTGCAGAAATCTTCTGCATATACCAATTTATGTAAGGGATAATGTACATCCAGCCGGTTGTTATCTCAGAATAAACCCCGACAGGTTGATCACGAGGGGTCTTGTATCAGCCTGAAGGGGATTATTCTGAGATAACAACCGGCTGGATGTACATTATCCCGAACCGGTCAAGATAACTCATAGTACCCAGATGAGCGGTGTGTTATTCAATTTGGCGGTTGTTATCTGGTCATAACATACCGCTGGATCGTGCGATTGACCAATCAGAATCAAGTATTCCACAGAGCCGTGTAATAAGCCTGTATAATGTGTATTTTATACATATATAGGAAGCCTGTTATTTAAATGTATTGTAAAGTTAAATTTGCAGCTGACCAATCAGAATATAGTATTTCAGAAAGCTGTCTAATACACATCATTCAATGTAGTTCATTAAGATTTCTTTTGAAAGAAATTAATACTTTTGATTAATTCGGTGTGTCCTTGCTGAATAAAAGTCACAGTGAAAACATTTGATGTTTCAAAAGATTTCTACTTCAAATTAATTCAATATAAATAGGAAATGTCTATTTAGCAGCAAATAGCATATAATAAAGATTTCAAAAGGATCATGTGATACTAAAGACTGAAGTAATGACTGCTAAAAAGCTTTGTCAACACAGAAATAAATTACATTTTAAAATACTACCGTATATTAAAAAATATATTTTTTACTGTATTTTTGATCAAATAAACGCAGCCTTGCCGAGTGCAAGAGACTTCTTTCAAGATCCCAAACTTACATAGCTGTGACTGTTTGAGAGGAGTTTGTGTATCTGCGCTATTCAGTTCCCTCATGTACACACATGGTTAAACAATACACCAGACTTGACTTGACTCGTCAGTACCTGAACATCCACTGAGATACTACACAAGTGGGAAAATGTCAGTACTTCTGTGTGAATGCTTGTTTGTGCAAGTATGATGCCTGATCTTAGTACAGCACCATTATGAGAGTGCAAGTCACCTGGCATTGAGGATGCCACTGTACGTATGCAGCTGTTTGAGGAAACCTTCATTGGGCTGCACTATAGACCGTCTTTCTCTCACGTGGTTGAGGGCTTGGTCTAATGTCCAGCCCTGCTGCTTCATCAGGTAAGCAATTACTGTGGAGGCAGAGCGAGAGACGCCCATCTTGCAATGCACCAGTGTGGCCTGCCCACTCTTCCTGTATCATCATCAGTACGAAACAACGACACATAAAATATTAGAATGAGACAGAGCACAAAGACAATATTCTTCATAGGGGGTTAAGTACACCATACTGCATGTGTGCTTAAATATAAACCAATGCATTTAAGAGTCAGGGTAGGCAGACTGCAAACACAAAAACTAAGAGGAGTGTGTGTGTGTGTGTGTGTTGAACACCTTGCTTCACTGATGAACATGTATGTGTTGTTCCAGTATGAGAGTAGGTCGGTCGCTTCCACATCGTAAACTCTAATATTCATATAGGTGAAGGATTCTGGGAAAAAGTTGTCAATCTCCTTGGTAACATTGAGGATGTAGCCCACACTACCAAAAACAAAAACCATAAAAATAGTTATTTTTATTTGTCTGCAGCAGAAAATGTTAATTTAAAGGATAACTTAATTATTTAAATTATTTAAAATATATTAAATAGATAAGTAATTAAATATATTAACGTATTAAATTATCTTTAATTATGATTAAATTTAATTTGTATACTTGTTCTTCTGTAGTTCTTCAAAGTTGGCAGCATTCCATTCGGACCCCTTTGGGGGAAAAAAGGACAAAAAAAATGAATAAATAAGTGTATTTCCAACAGTATAGCAGACAGAACAAATGTCAACACTCACCAAGTAAAGGTAGTCCAAGATTCTGGAAGGTTTGTCCATCTGTGCCATTGTGACCATCATCTCATTGTCAATATACTCTTTGTAGTCCTTCATGTCTATGCCTATTCTGGACTCCAGGGCTGTTCGCACCTGCAAACACACAGAAAGAATGACTGTAGCTCAACTGTATGGTTCTAGAAACTCCACGATCATGGGTTTGGGATACAAATCACATTAAAATGGCAAGTCACGTGGTATACAACGCTTACAAGCATCAAATCAAGCTTCTCACTAAATGATTGCCTGAGTGCTGCTGATGTTCATACCACAAAGATTCTCTGGATAAGACAACAAGCCCAGGCACATTAACTTTGAGTAAGTTCTAAAAGAAGAGAGTCTTTAAAAGGTGTGTCCTCAGGCTTGCACTACTGTTCAAATGTCTGGGATCAGTCAAGTTTTTATTTTTTTTAAGAAATTAATATTTATATTAAGCAGGGGCACATTTAATTTATCAAAGTGACAGTAAAAACATTTATAATAAAAAAAGATTTATATTTCAAAAATGCTATTCTTTAGAATTTTCTAGAATGCTGCAAAAATGTTTCTTGAGCAGCAAATCAACATAATGGAATGATTTCTGAAGGATCATGTGACACTGAAGACTGGAGTAATGGCCGCTGAAAACTTCGCTTTGCCAGGAATAAAATTATATTTTAAAATATATTCAAACAGAATGTAGTTATTTAAAATGTTAATGATTTCACAGTTTCACAATATTAATATTTTACGGTATTTTTAAAATAAATGGTGAACATAAGAGAATTCTTTCAAAAATTATTACAACAATTTTTTTTACCAACCCCATAAGTTTTGAACTGTAGTGTACTTTGAATAAACTTAAAGGGGCCATATTAAATAAATCCAGTCCACTTACTGAAAATAAGCATACTGAAAATGAGCTGCAAAAACATGCCAATTGTGAAATGTTTTGCAACCTGTCGCAATGCAATACTGGCTTTTGCAAAGTGCCTGTTATGGAAAGATGGCAGCAAACCAACGACTGTTTAAAAAGAAAAAAAAACTTGTTGCATACATATGCAAAAAAGTTAACCAATCATAACATACTGTAAAAAATAAAAGTAAAAATACGGCATAATGTACTGTATTATTTTGAAGGAATTTTTAAAGTGCAGATGATATTTGCACACATATAGTCTTAAAGTAAACATGAAATTGTGTTTGCAACCATTTGACTTCTGTTAAACGACGTATTTACACTCAGTGTGGAACTTGATTTTATCCATCAGGAACTGACTGGATCATAAAAAGTGGTCTATAGGTGACTAGAGGGAAGAGCTTGGTGACGTTGTGGGACAATGTAAAGCCATACTCTCTTTCATTTTACCTGCTTTGAGGTAATATTTTCCAAGTCCTCAGTCCTCATGATATCTCGAAGTTGGGCCTTGATCTCCTTCTCCACTGACTCGCGATTCAACGATGAACGTGCTCCTGTGTCCCTCCTGACTGACTCCAGGCCAGTCATGGCCGCCCATTCATTAAGGCAGTGCTGGTCAGATTCCACGTTCTCTCTGTAATGTTGTGCCCACTCCAGCCCGCAGCCTGGTATGACAGCCCCGTGCACGGCCCGTTCACAGCAGCCATGCAGCGCCTGCAACACTGACCTTGAGCAAAGTGAGAGTGACATACAAGGGAGTGCTGTGAACAAGCAATCGACAAACCACAAACACATTTACAAGTCACAGAGCTAACTTGGAGGCTTTAGGCAGATGTCTAACAGTGTACATGTAACTGACTAAGGACCAGAATAAAGACAAATAGCAAAACAGCATTGCAACTGAAAACAAAGATTTAAGTGTTTGTAGACTGCAAGACCAAAGTCGCACTGCATGCCGTTTATGGTTGAGCAAATTCGGTGTTTCCTCAGCATTTCCTGCTTTAAAACTTACCACATCGTCTGAATGGACACAGGCTTAAAGATTCGTGTCACTTCTGCAGATGTCACACTGAAACCTCTGTAAGAGAACGAGTGAAACAAGCTGTCAGAAAAGCAGAACTCTGGGGCTGAGGCTTTAACAGTGTCTAAAGTTCTGAAGGGCTGTGGAGATAAACTATAAAGTGGAAGCTTTTCCATTCAAACCAAGCATCGTTCTATTTTGTTTTAAATGCTATTTACTTTTTTAATTTTATATTCAGTAAGTTTATATGGTTTAGTGTTGACTGTTTCATATTTTTTCTAGTGCTGTCAAACGATTAATCGCGATTAATCGCATCCAAAATAAAAGTTTTTGTTTACATTATATATGTACATGTACTGTGTATATTTATTATGTATATATAAATACAAACACAAGCATGTATATATTTAAGAAAAATATGTTATGTTTATATATTAAATGTATTTATATAATATAAAATATAAGAATATGAATATATAAATGTATAAACGTAAATATTTTCAAATATATACTGTATGTGTGTGTTTACATATACATAATAAATATACACAGTACATGTACATATATAATGTAAACAAAAACTTTTATTTTGGATGCGATTAATCGTTTGACAGCACTCATTTTTTCTAAAGAAGCAAAACCTTTGCACTTGAGCTCCCTTCAATTTACAAACCGCATTAAAAGCGTATGCGAGAGTTGACTTTGATGATAAGATAATGATATCAAGATTGCTCCACATAGTACTAAAATCAAACTGTTTTGGCTTTCCCTGCTATTATCATCATATGTTTGTACTTGATTGGTTGACTTCTGGTGAGAATGATTAAGTCTATGTTCTTACCCATCTCCATCAAGGTAAACCTGTGTGTCACTCCATATTGGCAAGACAAGTCCAATAGTGCACTCATCACTGAGGAAGAGTAAAGAGAGAGAGAAAATAAGTGAGAAGTTTCTTGACAGGCTTACTGAAATAATCTGCAATTGTATTTAAAATTTTACTAAAAGTTTATATTTGAAGAGATAGTTCACCTCAAATGAAAACATAAAAAATAAATATTTTTCATATGACTAAAATATATTTTAAGAAATGTCTCAGCATTTTTTGTCTATACACAAAAACTCAATACGCTACCAACATTATTCAAAATAACTTATTTTATGTTTCACAGAAGAAATAAAGTATTGCAGGCTTAGAATGAAAAGTAGTATGATGACACAAATGTCATTTTTGGTTGAACTATCCCGTTAAAACGGCAACTAAACATGGGCACATGTTTGTAAAATATCTGCACATTCCACTTCCAAAAAAGTAGAATGTTAAAAATAAAAACACTCTCCTTGATTCAGTTGTGTTTTTGAACAGATATTATCAAAAATGCAACAGTACTTAGTCTATAAAACAATAGATATGTATGAGAACCTGTTCTAGTACACCCCCAAAACAAAATCAAGACTTTGTAAAAGAGCATAATAGGACCCCTTTAATAGGTATGTCCAGATTTATCTCTAATTAAATAAAAGCTGCTTATGATGACTTGCTAAAGACGTGCTACCTGTTTGACCCTGGGAAGTCCATGCCAAGTAGTAGACTCTCCTGTTTTTTGTTAAGCGTGCCGACTATAAGCAAATACCTCACTCTGACTAGGCTCACTGACTCCAAACGCACAGCCTGAGGTAGGGAGAAAGAGAAATTTAGGTACACTGTAAATGAATCATACATAATTCATTAAAACAAAAAAAAATTACAATTACTGAGCAATTATAATGAGATCTTTTCTGTTATTATAATTCAAGTACAACACCCAAGCATGATGTTCTATAATCATGTTTTTTTTTAATACACAGATTTACCTAGCAAATTGTATTGTGTGTAACAGTATTCTTAAAGTCAAAACAAAGCTATTGTCATTTCTGCATAGCAGAATGTGGAACAAACTAGTGTCTCCAGAAACCACATTGCAGAACTTGTGACGTTGCACATGCAAAACATGGTGTCTAATATACACAGGCAGTAAGTACAAACACTTCCTTTAATCAGTCTCAAACAGACAAGAAATAGTGTAAATGCATGAGATATTTTCATATCCATTAATCGTCCAGTGATTTGAGATTATAAAATTTATTTTGTATTTCTGTTTAATTTGGAGACCCTGAGCATAAAAAGGCAGTGTAGTAAAACAAGAGTGGGTTGAGGAAATCCTAACCAGTTTGACAGTGTCTTCAGGTCGTAGTAACGAAATCATTGCATGCAAATGTCTGCGCTGAGTGTCAGACGCTCGGCCTCCTTGCCTAGGACCTAGCAGAGAGGGTACGGTTTCTTCATGCAATCCCTCCCTCTCTCCCTCTTCCACCAGGAGCACTGCCCCCTTAACCAGGGCAAAACTTTCTCTGGTGTGCGGAAATAAAAAATTAATCAGTTACGCATTTGTGGAGGAAACGCTAAATTCAGTAAAATACACACGCATGATTAAAGCTGTATCACAAACAATCACCTTTTCTGAAGTCGTCCTCTTCTTGGAATAAGCTCATCCTTAAAATAAAATGAAGTCGATTACAAGAGATTGAATTAGAAGTTACGGGACATTATAACTCTAAGACTCTGTAAACTCTAAGATTTGTCCAGAGAATGGTGATGTTAAAAATGGGTGGAGGGTGAATTGATTATGTGATGCACTTAATTGCAAACAGACACCAGGAGATTCTGCTTGACTCCTCTGGATCATCTGACTCAGTAAGTGCTATTTGCCAAAACAGCTGAATAAAAACTTGCACCTGGGAAGGGCTTTTTAGCCTTTTTTCTCACCCATAACTCACTCTGACATGAGTGACTGGGTAAAAAATAGCAAAAAGGAAACCCGTAAACACAGTGACAAGGCGTTTTGACAAAATTGCCAACTGCAATGCAGTGACAGTATGATAAGACACTGAGGACGATAAACAGAGAGAAAGAAATCGAGTGAGAGAGGAAGACAGCGAGAAGGACACCAAAGAGGCTGTTATCAGTGCTTCTATGGAATGAGAGAGGAGACAGTAACATTACCTGTTATGTGACTGACGTGTCCAGACAAGAGACAAGAAGAAAAAGAAGAGAGGGGGTGGAGAGGAGGGGCAATGAGGTTTTAGGTTAAAGCTCCAGTGAGACTTTACTCAAAATAGTCTGAACATAGTGTTTTATAGAAGATACATAGTTTGCATGGGTTATGGGTGAAAAAGGAATCTTGTGTTATATAATAAATACAAAGGCTACCAATCAACCAATAGAGACAGAGAATGATTACTTGACATTGTCCAAAACCTATCAAGAACAGCAATAAAAGTTATCAGGCATTTTGGCTCTTTAGCAGAATCCTCATATAATCCTGGGGCTTTTTTTTGGAGCAGCATGAAATTGATTCTCATATTCAGATCCACGGCAAATTTGGAAAGCGTTTGGCGCGCTACCCAGAAGACATTCCTCCCAATTATACATAAACTTGTGTACAGAAAAAGGTGTAGAGTAACTGGACACACGTGGAGGGAGTGGGAGTAGGGTGAAAGAATGTGTGGAGAACTGCAACTGACACACAAAACGTTCAGATCGTCTCCTGTAGCATTTTAGAAATGGACATTTTTCATTAGGCGCAATAAAACTCACCGGTGTCGTGGAAATAGATGGCGTTCTGTGCAAGGTCAGCAAAGCCATTCCACAGCCGGTTATCCTGCTTTAACGCTGGCAGACGAGTCAGAGCAGCTCAACAGAATGCTTGCAAGTTTACTGGGTTGAGTAGAAAAACCCCCCACAAATAACACAAACTGATGATGAATGGCACTACATCTGAAAATGCAATACTAAACGAAGATATTTATAGTGCAACTAGACTGAATTACTACAGAGCAAACTCAGAATATGTAATAACACCCAGACATTTCCACAAAAAGGGAACAAAACAGGGCCTGGAACTAATTTTTTTTTTAAATTACACAATTTTATTTTAAGAACTAAGAGAAAGGAGATGCTTAACCTTCAGAAAGTGTTTATCGTCAACCTCAGGAGGTCAACATTTGTGAGCTGTTTTATTTTCCATTCATTTTCGATGGGGTTTCACCCTAGAAAGTAACTTTTATTTAACACTACAACTTCTGTGCAAATTCTGAAAATAAAATACAATCATTTTCTACATTTTCTTTTCTTGGAAGAATATGTAGAACACAATATGTGGGACTAAATATGTTAATAATTAAAAACAGTTTTTGATAATCAATACTAATTTTAAATATAAATTTTTTTTTTAATGTTTACTAAAATATGACACTGTAGTATGTAGTATTTTAATTAGATTATTTCAGATCTAAGGTCAGAAGGTCAAGACCTCTAATTGTGGGAACAAATTCACATTTATAAGAGAGGATACACATATTAAATAATAATAATAATTGAATAGTGTACAAAGAATCTATTAGGCGTCAAAAATATATATATATATATTTGTGGCTTTGATGTCTTAGAAGTCAAGGAACGCCAGAGTGCATCCTAATAGTGTAACGTGCCATAAATTCCCAACACATAACTAAATCACGTAACTTAACGTAACAGATAACCGAAATTAAACAGTCAAATGGTTCTGCGGTCTAAGATGGAGACACACTGTGTAGTTCTTCGCCATATCCATGACACACCATAATACAACGCGCAACCGATCCCACATACTCTGAAATGTCACAAAATGTTTTCGATATTTTGAATAGTGGATGAGGATTGTAATTATAGCGTAGTAACGCGGCTGTGCGAGTCATGTCTACAATATCGCAGCTCGAGCATTTGCTGTTTTACAAGACAAACTTGTAATTTTTGCATGTCAGATCTTTCAGTTTCATCGCTGCCTTAAAGAAATGTCTCGATAAAGTATGCCACATACCTAATAGCCTGCTAATATGTCTGTAGGTTGATGCTTTATTATGCTTATGTAGCTCCAACACAGCTGTGTTTTAACCAACAACAGACTCGAGGCTTGTCATTTCCAGTTCCTTAAGAAAAGCAAAAGAGGGCGGATTAAACATGGAGAGTTCGCTTACCTGATGCGCTGAAACGCTGCGAAATTAAAAGGATTCCCTCCTAACTGATTCTTCCTCGAGAAATCGTGTTAGTTATTTTGATCCTATGACCACAACTGTTGCATTGATCCAAAATCCATTTAAAGGGGAAGGCAGACTATGTCACGAAACCAGGAAGACTTATTCTCGGCCGAGAAAAGTAAATGTGCCCTTAAATGGAAGAGGCGGATCGGGAGTAATTCGCCTATTAAAGCGACAGAGACATATTTAGTTAATCGGAGGATGAATAACATAATGCCTTATAAAATGCCAATACAGTTATAGAAATGGATTAACTGTTACAGCTTTCATTTACAATCTAAATAAAGGATAAACAAAGTTTAAGTCATCTTCTGGTTACGTTAGAGGCCTTTAGGGCGTTTGCAGGAGTACAGGACCAATTTAATAAACAGCAAAATATAAACAAAAATACAATGTTACTCTAAACACCAAAGCAAAAGTTAATAAAGTTAAGCTAATTATTTCAGTGTCCTACCAACAACAATATGTATCCAAAAAATGGATAAGTAGAAATGTTGAAGGATATGTTCGTTGTACTGTTTACAACTCTTGTCACATTGTACAGCAATGTAGCATACCTGCAACAAAAATGCAACGTTGTGAAATAATTCCTGGGAGGAACCACAACAATAAGTGTTTACATAACAACTGTGTTCACACCTCACAAAACTAAATGATGAACCGTCATCATCTTTCAATTGCGTATGGTAAATTTTAATACCTTGTCTTTAATACCTTGTGCAACAGTTATCTCCAGACAGTTTGAATTAGACCGATATCTATAGGTTACACAGAGTTACGCCAGTAGGCGGCGATCGCACTAAACACCCCCTCTACCCAAATACACAAAATAATGATCTTTAAAAAAGCATCATATGACCCCTTTAAAGTGTACAGTGCCAAGTGGAACACTAACGCTTAACAGAAGAAGTTTACTTAAAACAAATAATATGTAACATTAGCCTTTAAAATAGTGACACATTTCACACAACGGATGACGATTAAGTACTGAACTCAAATTTGTAAAACGTTTTCTGAAGTGGCATCATCTACCATTTCGTCCGCCATCAAGGTAACTCCGCCCCTTCCGCTACGGGTACGCCGCAAACGCCGAGTGCTTTAGCATTCCACTTTTTTTTTTTTGGTTATTCGAAATGCACTTTTTAGTGTGAACACACTACTCACATTATTTATACTACAAAATGGAGAAAAACTAATTCGTTCAAAAGACTGATTCATTAAGGAATGCCGCTACTGTACTGGATTTATCAAATGCGTGAATAGGTAATTACTGCTAGCTAAAGACTGCAGTAATGAAGATGTTTGAAATGTTTCAAAATGTATTCAATTCATGAAACTTCAAAATAACATATTTTACCCTATAAATCTAAATTAATTTATTTGTCTTGCCAACCCTGAGGTATATTTGAAGAGTTCAGATGCAAAGCTCTAAGTGCCATTTGAAATTTTCATCTAAAATGAGCATTTTTATCAGGCTCCTATGTGTAGGTTCAGTTATTTCACTTTAATGGCAATGAATAGGTTATTTTCATTGCCATTAATGTGAATTAACTGAACATAAACATAGGAGCCTGAGAAAAATGCTCATTTTAGAAGAAAACTTCAGACTGAGACTCTTCATTTGTTCTTTAATTATTCAGTATTTTCTAATTCATTTTGTTATTGTAACTACAGAGTAGAAAAAAAAACATTTGAAATGCTTTTTATGGACCTTCTTTTCGGCCATAGTTTCAAAATAATGGAACAGCAGTGCCACCATCCGTCCAAGCATATTACACAGAAGAGTTGCAAGTCCGACTAGTGGAAGAAATTTGTGCTGAGATAATGTAGAGACGCCAGTCGTTTGAAGGCTGCGTGGGATTCACTGCTTGGGACTAAACTCTGTCAAGAATTTGTTATCCGAACGATTACTTTGGAAATAGCAGAATATATTTTAAGTAAAATTCAGCTTTTAACATTTATAGCCATAGTTCCGCCTGACACCTAATGAAATGATCAGATTTATTGTTCTTTTTGTTGAGTTGTGCATCATTTGTCAGTCTCTGGGTGATTACACTGAGGGTAAGAGATCTTTATTTTCTCTTTCTTTATGAAACGGTAATCTTCTCTGGTTTGAACGGTGTAAAGTTATTTTTGTAAAGCAAAGTACATAATTTAAGCTCTCTCAACCGTTCAGCTGTGTTTACCTTTGCACTGAAGTTACGGACTATCAGGTCTTAGTGGAGAAATTGAGATTTTGTTTTAGCTTTTAGGAATGAATTGAATATAAAAACCTTCATAAATAATAGTATGCAGGCTAAAGTGACTAAACTTTTAAACATGTTCTTTAATTTTGCGTTTTAGTCTTTTCCCTCCAGCTATTGATTCTCCAAACCCCACACTGTCATTCAGTCGCGCACTAGTTTGTCTTGGAAGATTCTGATTCACAAATGATTCAGACTCCAGGGGAATAAGTCACGTACATTTGGCCAAAGGAGCAGTTTCATAGACATAAACATACATTGTGTAATGTTTCTTGATTCAACAAAGAAGCGCAAGTGGAATGTACAAAACATGGTGACATAAATTTTTAAGTAAATATAATGTGCGATATATTGCGTCACCAAAAATTATTGCGGTCATGTACATATATTGCGCGATAAGTCAATATATTGATTATTGCGACAGGCCTACACATTGTTTCATCCATTAAGCGTTTAATGTATCTAAAGACATATTATTAACATGTTCACTGTTTGATGAATGATGTCCATACCATCTAAAGTTGTAATCATAACCCAGTGACCCAGTAAATTACTGAGTGTGAGCTTACCATTTGAGACAATTGATTCTCCAAACCCCACACTGTCATTCAGTCGCGCACTAGTTTGTCTTGGAAGATTCTGATTCACAAATGATTCAGACTCCAGGGGAATAAGTCACGTACATTTGGCCAAAGGAGCAGTTTCATAGACATAAACATACATTGTGTAATGTTTCTTGATTCAACAAAGAAACAGTTTTGTATCAAACAAGAAACATTACACATTGTTTCATCCATTAAGCGTTTAATGTATTTAAAGACATATTATTAACATGTTCACTGTTTGATGAATGATGTCCATACCATCTAAAGTTGTAATCATAACCCAGTGACCCAGTAAATTACTGAGTGTGAGCTCACCATTTGAGACCGAGCCCTAATTTGACCTTTTTAAAGGAACAACTTTACCTGTGTCATGTTTGGGTCCAAGGCCAAACAAACAAACAAGCAAGAAATATCTTGCCATGTACTGTATCAGCTATGCAAGTGAACTGATTGAATGCTCATGGGAATGTACATATTTTGTGTGATTAAAAGCGTAACGTTGTTTGGCTTTCGGCACAGTTCCAAATAGTTTGTGAAAATGAGAACATCATTTTCCTCACACAAATTGGAAAGTTTTCCCTTGAGGAGAGCTACATAATGTTTTCCAGGTAGTGTACAGCAGTGTGGGTATTGACAAATGTTGAGTCACAGTCTTGGTATGTTTCAACTCTGTAGACAGCTGCAGTCAGTCTCTATCAGTATAAGTTCTGCATTTATATATTTAAATAAATGTATTTAAAAAGTCTGCCCATCTGTCCATGGTGTTTCCTTGCCTAAAGCCCAAGACTCTGGGATAAGCTCCAGCATCCCCCGACCCTACATAGGACAAACGGTTTGTAAATTGGATGGATATTTAAAATGAGATCCTTCTAGGCCTGGCAACATCTTTGCATACCGTTATCCTCTTTCCATATCATTGGCATAGATTCAGATATTCTTGTGCTCAGACATGTCTCAATCTTTTACTTTGAAGGAAATGGTGAGTTGTAAGAATATATTCCGTGACTCAATAAGTATCCATCCATTTGTCTATAGCTGCTTGTTCTATGTACAGTCACTGGATTCTATCCCAGCATGACTACAGATGAAGGCAGGGAAATACCCTAGACAGGTGACCAGCTGCCAGTATTAGGTGAACTTCAGCTTAAGAAAATGAGTGAAATGTAAAACTTTTTTCATGCATGGAAAAGTACTCCTCCTGGTGAGACAGTCTCTACAAAATTATTTTCAAAGATCCTAATCCAGTAAACATGGACTTGGAAACCCTGACTTGGCTGGATCTTCAGTTTTCTGTGTGTAAACAGCAGCACCTTTTGGCAAATGTGATTTTGGCATTGGCTAAAACAATTCTGTCCTAGATTTCAGCTGACATTCTGTACAGTATTGAACTTTTTTAAGCTCCCTTTAGGGGTCTTCTCTGAATATTTTTCCTGAAATGATCCTTATATTTTAGGGAAAGCTCATGGTTCTAAACAATGTGTTTCAAAGAGGTTTATGTATGTGAAACCAGAAAAGCGTGTGAGTGGAAAGAATGATGATGGTGGTTGTGCTGCTTGGAAACAAAAACCGGGGTGGTTGGGGATCTTTTTCTCTACTGCTGAGGCTGCAGGATACTAATGATGCAGCTGATTTGCTGCTATGATGATGTGCCGGCCAATATTTAGACTCAGTCTTTTGGAAGATGACTTTTAGAAGACTTTTTTGAGATCAAAGCTTCAGGTTTTATGTTTGCTCTTTTAGGCTCAGCGTCTTCTTACCATGACACCAATGAAGTTGTGCATGAGGACGAGACTTACTACACCCCTCAGTTGGACTATAAACGTAAATATGTGCACTAATTATACAATATGACTAAATGCGAAATGCTACAGCTACTTTAAAACCATTTTTGCCATCAGATCCGCAGTGGTGCCATGTACTTAAGCTGTCCAATGGAGAAGTGTCCTGTTCTTCTCCTCGAGGCGGGCACCACCGGGGCTCGCTTGGAACTCGCTGTTTGCTCTCCTGTGTTCGAGGATATAAACGGCTGGGACGATCATCTGTGCAGTGCATGCCCAACCGCCGCTGGTCTGGAT